TGGAAGGAGCCCGCAGGGCGAGCGGGTTTGTGTTTATCGGGGGAAGCGCATCAGGAAATCCCCTGCAAATAAATACTGTGAACTCTGAAGGAGGAGCTTAGCTGGGGAGTGAAAGCAGAGAATTTTCTAGTATTGACACAGTCCTCTGTGTGTGTTTGTGTCCGTGTTACTTGCACTTGTGCTTTTCTGATGCCCGCCTTGCCTCTGTGTCTCACCAGCTGCCTCCCTGCGACCTCTGCTTCGGGGAGCTACTCGCCCTGTCTGCTGAAATACACCAGCCTGGGGTCACTGAAAACACCTTACACAGCTAAGCAGAGGAAGCATGTATGCCGGCCCTTGGGTATAGCGACACATGAAACCAGCCACAGTGTTTATTTTGGAGAAAGAAAACTTCACCTGTGCTTAAGAAGACTCACCCAGGGAGGCAGTGTATGAACCTTACAGAAACATCTATAAATTATTTAAAATTGAGCACGGACATAATTCCTCTTTTCTTTCCCCTGTGAAAATACTAAATTTGCAACTGACTTTTACACGTAGCAGCGTTCAGAACAGGAACAGGAGGGAAAAACGTTGCTTTTAAAAAAAAGAATCTGAAGATGAGCGCCCACACACAAACTGCAGAGAAGGGGCAGAACACGACACTGCTGTGCCAGGAGAGCTATGTTTGCAGTGGGACAGATGAAGCAATCTTTGAGTGTGACGAGTGCAGGAGCCTGCAGTGCCAGCGCTGTGAAGAAGAGCTGCATCAGCCGGAGAGGCTGCGGAACCACGAGCGGACCCGTATCCGACCCGGCCACGTCCCCTACTGTGACTCCTGCAGAGGGGCCAACGGGAACATCCTGCACGCCAGCATGACGGGCTCGAGGCAGGCGGCAGCGGTGAGGTGCCAGGTGTGCAAGATCAACCTCTGCACGGAGTGTCAGAAGAGAACGCACTCCGGGGGGAACAGGAGGAAGCACCCTGTCACTGTGTACCATGCCGGCAAAGCCCAAGAGCAGGACGAGGAGGAGGGCATGGATGAGGAGGCCAAGAGAAGGAAGATGACAGAGAAAGTTGTGAGTTTCCTCTTGGTGGATGAAACTGAGGAGATTCAGGTAAGAACTGCTGTGGTTTGTTAGAATGGGCGAGGTCCTCTAGTTTCTCTCTTAGTCCAACAGGCTGCTGTGATGCATGATTAATACTTGAAGGCAGCAATGTTAACAAAATGAGGACAGCCAGCTGAGTGGCTCTGAGGGAGTATCCTAGGCCAAAAAGACACAGTGCCTTGGAGCGGCCTTGCTCACAAGTTCCTCGAAAGGTCAAGTTCATTAAATGCTTGCGTGTGGCATGAGCCTCCTCTAAGAGGCTTGGTAAGCGAAGCTGGTGAGAGAATTGACTCTGTGCTGAGACACATACAGCTAAGATAAGAGCTCTCTGTGCAGGATGCTGATCATTCCTGAACAAAACTGAACTAGGAGTATTGCAGTAGGTGCCCTGTAAATGGGCGTGCTGGCAGCCAACCTCCTACCCTATGACCACGAATGGGCACTGCACCAAGCAGTGCTTGTGCAAAACCTACAGCCCCCTGCTGCCCCCTCTTAGCATCAGTAAAGCCATCTGATTTTTAAGAATAGGATAAAGCAGAAATACAGAGCCAAAGTGTACCACCCAAGGCTCTGTGGTTATGCTCTATTGCTTTTCACAAATAGCATTCCGTGTTAGCTTTTTGCTGAAAGAGGGGCAGATTTGCCATCAGTTTGGGGTAGGCATGCTGATAGGAATGACAGAAATATTAGTTGACTACAAATAGCCTCTTAGGAGTCTTTATTTTAGAGAGTCTAGCGTTCAATATACACGGTTAATCAACTCCTCTCTTGGCCCTTATGTTTGGTGAGTGTAAGTACTTTACAACTTAAAAATACTTTACAAATGTAAAAACACCAATGTATGAAAGTCACAGAGCATGTTAGTTACACAACTGCAAATTCAGCTTTGTCTTCTGGCTTCCAGTTTGCGTCCTTCACGTTAAATCTTATTCAGGAGACTGCAAAAGAATATGTAGTCACCTGAAGAGTCGGTACATGGTTGCTCTAATTTAACATATTTATGCTACCAGTGGTAAAAAACATTGTGATGATACTCAGATTGTTGGTAGATTAGGGATTTGTATCCATCATAGTAACAGTCAATGTGTCTGCCATGCGTTGCAAGGAGATGTGACTTAAGTATACTGAAGAGGAGTGTATATGTCTATCTATGTGTGTATCTGTACATAGAGGGGTGTTTGCTGTAATTATAATACAGAATAGATGGCAAATACTTGGGTGATGCTTTTGTCAGATCAGCTGTTCTGAATGACAGATTCTGGTGGCTTTTGGAGAGGCAAGGGAGGAAAGGATGGCAGTCCTGATGGACTGAGAGAGAAAACACTGCCCGGGACACGGGTGACTGTAAACTGAGTGATCGAGTTTCAGGAGTAGTAACAGTCTGAAGTTTGTGTGCCTCCCCTGAGCACCCCAACGTTTCCTTGTAGCTCATGGCAGATTGCAACTCTTGCTTTAAGATGCAGACTTCAATAATCATCTAGCCATTAGAGCAGGCTCTGAAGTACCTTAGAATGGGGCTGTCCTTGAACGCTGCTCACAAGCTGTGGCTGTACTGGTTTAAGTTATCTTTATACTCCTGGATCTGCAAGCCTTCTTGAGGTAGACTTTTGGCTGCCTCTTGCAAGCAAGCACATTGCTATTTAAATGTCATGGGCAATAAAGCCAAGATCTTTACTGGGACAGCAACGGTCCTTTATCTGATCAGAGCAATTTGATCAGAGCAGGGTTGAAAAAGCTCTTAAAAAATGATCTTCTGTAAAGATATTGATGCAGAGCTCTTCTGTCTGGAGTGATCTTCTCTTCCTCATAGCTGAATACTTATGTATTCATCTCACAGCCAGTGTCAAAGCAGTTTGGGAGTTTTCAATAAAAATATTTCTCGGCAGCTGAAACTTAAAATGTGCTTGCTATTGTAGTGAGCATGAGGACCTTTATTTAGAGAGGGCTGTCAGATGACTAGCTGGTTCTGAAGACATCTTCTGTAGCATCTTCTGCTCTTGATAATGTTAAACAGACAGTTTAGCTATAGGAAAGTAATCAGTCTTATCTCTTGTGCGTGTCATTAGCAAAAGTATTGCTGATTACATGGGGAGAAATCCTTAGGATGTTCTTTATTTAAACCAATCTTTTTGTCCAAAAATGCCAAAATAGTGATAACTTGAAATGTGGAGGTTCAGAGTTTGAGGATGTGTAGCTTTTTATGTTTGAGCAGACAGGATTTATTAGAATTGTGGAGTCCAGCTGTCTTTAACCACCTGTTTTCTGACCTTTGGAACTTGAAGATTGTTGCATTAGTTAGGAAATAAGAGGAAACTGCTGACTTGCTGTCAGTGGTAGATTCTGCCATAGCAATGCTAATTACTAGTGCTATAAAATTAGGCAGAACTAGTTACACTGCTGAGGAAACACGACAGATGGAGATAATCATTGATGTATATATGTTTACAAGCCTCTGACTTGAAAGTGGTTCAATGAGATGGGAACACAAGGCAAAGAGGTTTATTTTTTACTTTCCTTTGGAACGTGGAGTTGTTAACCTCAAGTGGTCATGTTTCATCTCATTGTTCCTGTTGGCACCATGGAGGTGGTAGCTCTGAAACTGAAGGGCAGTTATAGTGTGTAAGCAATGGCTGAGCTCGTTCCAGATCCAGAAGCAATGTAGATTAATCCATAAGGAGCTGTGCCTGAGAAAATTAGTTTAGCTGAGAGGTGGAGATTCTCAGCTTGGGCTCATCACTGCACTGACACAGCTATGATAATTAGGAGATCTGCATAATTGTCTTTGTGCCATGTTGTACAGATGTGCTGGCCTGCTCAAAGCTAGTCTGGAGCCTTTTGCACTTCGCAGAGACAACCAGAAGCTCTGAAAGCTGAGGACTTCATGTGTTTATTTCAAACCCATGTAGTCAGGAAAGGTCCTGTTTTAAACCTCATCTTTTGAAGCAGTTGTTGGTGGAGAACTGATGGTAGCTGAAGTTCATATCTCTGAAATACAAGCTTCTTTGTGATCATCATAACAGTGCTATATCTGCACACCTCATAAAGAGGTTGGTTATCTCACATTACAGAAGTGCTGTTAAAGGTTAAATCCAAGTCTGTGCTGCAGGTCTGTGGAAGAACCAGAGAGAGGGGTTGTTCTCATGGAGTCCAGCCCCAGCTGTCTCACCACTCAGTGTAATGCTTTGTGACTGTTATGAGTTAGTTCCCAGCCATCTTCACCTACACTACAAATTTTCCTTTTCTTCTTCCAGGACTTATCACCCCTCATAAGACCTTATTGACTTCTTTATCAGAAAATGAATCTTGTGCATGTTTTACAGATTGGCATCACCCACAGTTTAGATCCCATTCTAGGTCCTTTTTCTCAGGCTGTGTTAGGCAGTTTCTATTCACACAGTATTAAACTTTTGGCCTTATCTGTTGCGTGTCTGAAGCTGAGACTTCCATCAAAATGTTCTTGATAAGTGCAGCATCTGTTTGTTAATTGCCTCTGACATTGTCTATCTTCCCTGCTCACATCTGCTCAGAATGATACTGTGGGGATTACTTCCTCAGGCAATTGCTTTGGTCTTGTCACTGCTCTGGCTGCATCTTCCACGTCTCTTCTTTGCCATGTCAGGCTCAAACTGCATGCTGCTTTTTTTTGTGTGTGTAAATCCTCCAGCTGAATCTCCTGATCTGTTCTGTCAAGATGTCAGCTTTCCTTTCTTGTCTCTACCTTGCTGAATTTTCAAACAAGCATCATGTGACTGTGCTGTCACTAGTGCTGCCCCTTGCATGCAGAAGGCACTTCTCTTAAGAACCTTCAGAATCAAATCACTGGTCTTTTTAAAGACTCTCCAGTACTCATGGATGTATTAAGAAAAACACTGCAAAATACAACATAAAAACATGACTTGGGTGAGGGTAGTAGTTTTAAGTCCTGATACTGTCTCACTGTCTCTTGAACTTTTCCACTCATCTGTCTTTGTCTCTTGTAGTTATGTTTGTGCACTTTCTGGAACAGTATTAATTTTTTTTCCTTGTCTTTATACAACTCCTTTGCAATCGAGCTCTTCAGCATAAAGCAGAGAGTTACGTATCCATTGGACAGTGAAATCTATTTACTGCTACTTCTGAGGTAGAGGAGAAGTCCTTACCAACACAGAGCAACAATTTGGTATGTTTATCTTGGGGAACAGATGTCGAGAGTTCTTACCACAGGATCAGAACTTGGTTGGAGCCGTCACTAGTGGCTTCTATGATAACACTCTGTCCAAAGCCCTAATTAAGGACTCAGCACTAGGGAAAGTCTTTCATTGACCCCAGAAAACAGGGGACATGCTTGATTGTTAGTCTGCCTTAAAACGTTCACTGTTCTCTGACCAGGAACCAGCTCTGTCACAAGAAATTACCCAACCTCTGCGTTGCAAAGAAAAATAAAAGGCACTGACTTTGTAGCCTGTCCTGCTAAGCAGACAGGAAGAAGAGAAAGTTTTTCCTCTAGCTAGTTGCAAAAATAATATCCACAGCAGTATAATTTTATGTGGGAGAGAGGAACATACGTTTATGACTGGGCCTCCCCTGGGACACCCACTATGAGCTCCCTTTCTTCTTCTCTCTTGTAAAAAGTTACACGTACAGAGTGATAACTCTTCAGTGATGCTAGCTGCTTGCTTTTCTCACTCCCACTGTAAACCTGATGATAATAGTATGATTTTTTCCTTATTACCTAATTATTTGAGCCTGGCCCAAGTCTAGGGATGAGCAAATGGAGAGTCATCAGGAATGCTTTCTCTAGTCAAGTATGATCTCTTAAGTCTTACTGCTTGCCTCTGTAGTAGGAAAACATTTGTCTAGCAAGTAGTGCTGGTTCTTATGACACTCTTGCTGGATTTGCTGTTGGGCAAATATGCTTGGGTGTTTTTTGGGGTTTTGGGGTTTTTTTTTTGTGCTTTAAGGTAGCACAGTCAGCTGGAAGCTTCTGGGAATTTTAGTCCCTGTCCTGTAAGTGAAGAGTCACATCTGGT